CATCCAGCGGGCACAGATGGCTGCCCTGGCTGCCATGCGGGCGGCCGCCGCTGGCCTCAGCCACTCGCCCAGCCCGGGCCTGTCGGATGAGAGCCAGGCCTCCGAGGAGGAGGAAGAGGAGGAGCGTGGCGAGGAGGAGGAAGATGGTGGCGGGTACCAGCAGGAGATGGGCTCCGAGGAGGAGGAGGACCTGTGAGTGTACTCGGGCAGTTCTCATGGGCTTGGGGAAGGGGCAGGGAAGTGGCACAACACAGGTGGGTTTGGGCACAGCGTGCTGGGGAGGCTGCGGGGGTCCCGTGGCTTGGAGCGGGTTGTGGATTAGAGCTACTGGGATTTTTCAGAGCAGGAGATGCTGGGAGCAGTGTCTCGGCTCTGTGGCTGTGATTCCTCGTGCTGGGTTGCCACAACGTCCCATCTCTGCCCAGCAGCCACGTTTGGCTGTGACAGAGGACCCTGGGCTGGTATTAAATTATGCAGGACCCTTGGCTGCCTCCAGCACGCATCCTGTCAGGGCAGGGCCAGGCCAGGAGCATCTGGTAGAGCTCTGTGATGGAGCTGCTCCTGGGACGCTGGGGCCGGCCGTTCCCGCAGAGTTTCCCCCACCAATGGGCTGTACCGGGCTCCACTGTGTGCTGGGTGGGTGCTCCCAGCCCCGCAGCTGGGGAGGGCCTGTGGGGCAGGGAGGAGAGAGGGATGGGCCTTGGGAACCAGTGTGGGACCAAACCTCTCCTCTCCCCCTGGTTCCAGAAAGGGCAAATGGGATGAAGATGAGTTTGAAGAAGACCTGGGTGAGGAGGAAGAGGAAGAAGAAGAGGAGGAGGAGGAGGAAGACTATGAGGAAGAAGAAGACATGGGAGAGGAAGGGCTCAGCTCAGCAGAGGCGGTGCGGGCAGGCGCGGGATCCCTGCTGCTCCGCAAGCCCCCAGCACCCCAGCACTACCGGGGGGAGCCACCACGGCTACCAGGGGGACAGGAACGGCTGCCCCCCGGCCTGGGCCATGCTCAGCCCCCGCCACCGGCACCTGACCATGGTGACTGGACCTACGAGGAGCAGTTCAAGCAGGTATGTGCCCACCCAGACACGTGTCCCTGCCGTGCGTTCCCTTTCCCTGCTTTGAGTGTCCTCGCGAGCGTGGGGAGATGTCTCGAACAGTGCTGCCTCCAGCAGTGCTCTCCTCGGATCCAGCTGCTGTTGTCATTAGGAATGCATGGGATTTCTCTGGGGTTTTACTGCTGGCCTCAGTCTCTCCCCCTCCCTGGTTGGGGTACTCTGAGTGGATCCTGTGTCTGGGTTGTCCAGGCAGACAGCATGATTGGGTATGCCACAGGGATCCGGCAGGATTCTTGCTGAAAATTTTGAAAAAATCACCCCAAACTTGCAAATCTGACGAGTCTCTTCTCCACTCTCCCAAAGCCATTTTTCATGGGGACCTGTCTCTCATCACCATCACTACAGAGGTGATGCCTGGCAGGACAGTTCCAGCCCCATGGATGCTTGGTGGGGGTCAGACAACGAGGCCAGCGTGTTCCCACTCTCCCAGCGCCAGAGCTGGCTGCAGTCCGCTCTCACTGATAGAAGAAAACGTGCTGCAGCCAGGGCTCCCCAGGGGCCACTCGGCACTTTTGATGTGTGCTTAAATACATCGGAGTTTAGGGCTGGGGGAAGGGGAAAGACCAGCAGCAGCAGATGGGACCCAGATGGAGTGGCCAGGGCATGGTGGCCTTTCAGGAGGGATGCGACCACCTCTGCCCCTTCTCCTTCAGGAGGCTGTCGCATCCCTTCCGAAATGGGGGAAGGGGCTGCCGGGATGTGCCCAGGCTCAGAACAGGGCTGGCAGAGGGAGCACCAGCAAGCACGGAGCATGTGGCCATCCTGGCACTGCCCAGCTGTGGTGACGGAGGGACGCTCCTGTCCAGCTGTAGGGATGGAAGGATGCTCCTGTGCATCCCTCATGCCGCTGCACCCAAGCCACCTTCTCTTCTTGTGGTTTCTCTCTCTTGTGCTTCCTGCTGCCGGGGAGCGAGGGGCCAGGGCCATGAAGTCGTAGCTGTGAAAAGGCTTTTCAATACCGCAGCTCTGATCTTCCTGTTTGTCAGCATGTCAGCGCCGTGGTCCAGGCCGTAGCCTCTGCCAGGTCCCCTGTCGCAGCCACGGCACTTGGGAACACCAGCCCCATTCCCAGCACTTCCTCTGCCCCCCAAGCTGTGCCCCGTCTCCCTGAGCATCCCCTCTCCCTCCATGTCACTTCCCGGAGTCACCGGGAAGAGCCCGGCTCGGTGGTGAACGGTGGAAGCAGCCGGAGGGGGTTGGAAAGCCTCCGTGGGCGGAGGAGGCGACGCGCTGGGCCCGGAGAGGCTTTCCCTGGCACGTCAGCCCGCGCGACCGCGCTTGGATCGCGGCCGCTGGACCGGGGCCAGGGGGTTGCTGGCGCAGCCGGTGCTGGCCGGGAGCTCCTCCTGGCTGGCCTCCAGCGCGTGCCGCTGGGCTCCATCCCAGCCCAGCTGGCGCGGCCTGGGAAGGAGCAGCAGGAATGTAAACAGCGAGGGCAGCACGGGGCAGGGGATGCCGTACCCCATCCCCACTCCTTGCTGGGGTGGAGGCACCTTAGGGGGAGCCCCGGCAGCTCCGGGATGCCCGACCACAGCAGGGTCCCTGCGTGGGTGAGCCGGCAGGGACGTGGTGCTGTGCGTGGTTGTGCCAGTGTTCTGACTGCCTGCTCTGTGAGGAATGGGCTCTTTTGGGGCCCAAGGAGCTCCTTGGCACCAGCAGGACCCCTGCTCTCTCACCAGCTCTGATGCTTCCCCAGCTGTGCAGCTCTCTCTGCTGGGAGTTTGGTTCCAGTCTGGATTCAGCTCTGGTTGTGCTGCTGCATCCTTGGCCCGTGGGTCTCTGTCCTTGAAAACACAGTCCTCACCAGGCAGTGCCGCCACGCAAGCCCTGTGTGGGTCTCCACACCCAAACCCCGGCAGCCGGGGGCTGCCCCCATCCTCCACTGCCAGGTTTTATTGACCCATCTGGGACAGATTCCTGTGAACTGGTGCTCGGCTGAGCCGTGGGGGGCCGGAGGGAGGAGGAGGGGGCCCAGTTCAAGGGAGGAGGAAGGGGAGGGCGTGAGGAAGAGTTATGGAGGTGAGGGAGGTTAGGGAGCCGGCGCGTGGCACCTCCCCATCCCCAGGGACGGCTACTGCACAGGCAGAGGTCAGCTCTGCCTGACCCAGGCGCTGCCGGCGCGGGCAGCAGAACAAAGGAGGCCCCAGCACAACGGGAACTCGGGGGCAGCGCTTACCGAGGGCACCGTGGCTCCTCGGGCTAGGGGGAGAAAGGGGGAATTTTCTGGGTGGGAAGAGGCTCCCCATGGGAAATGGGTAAAAATCCAGCAAGCTCCTGCCAGCAAGGGGCTGCTGGGGATAAAACTGCTCTGAGTTCTGTGCCCCCAGCACTGTGGGGGTTCTGCTGCTGCTGCTTCCCCCCCCAAGATACCTCCTCTGACCTTTCTGTTTCGTTATTGCTATTACTGCTCCCCGCTAATACCGGGAGTGGGAGCTCCTGGTGTAGTGGCAGCGCCTGGAGCTGGAGTTTCTGGTCTCTACCTCTTTTGGAGCGTCCTGTGCTGCTGGTGCTCCCTTCAGGCGTGGGCACCCTGCACCCCTTCCCACATCACAGGAACTGGAGGAATCCATCTCCCTGTGTTCATCTGGCTGCAGCAGCCACCACTCTCCCTCTGGGGTTCTCCATTTTGGGTGCTCCCTTTTGGGATGTCCTGCAGTGGCTGCCTCAGACTGATGTTTAACCCCCAATTTCTGCCTCAGGAAGGATTTAAAGAGTCAGCACAGTGCCAGTGGGAGGCTGTGCCGGCTGGGGGGGTTTTGGGGGGTGCTGGTGCTTTAATGGGGCAGGAGGTTTCTTGTGTTGGGGACATCTGAGCCATGCTGGTGGCACACGGGCGCAAAAACCTCAGTCCTTATCTCGCGTGGTGCAGCGCACCCCGAGATACGGCGTTTCAAAGTGCAGTGGTGAGGGAAAAATAAACCGAAAGCAACTCGGCGACCTCGGCAGGGCTGCGGGGGTGGGTGAAACCGGACCCCCCCCTCCACCCAGACCAGCCCCACGCACATGGCTGGCAGAGCTGGGATTTTCCAGGAGGATCTGGAGGAGCAGAGAGCCCACACATACCTCCTCTGAATCCCCAGGAGCTGGTTAAAGCATGGGGGATCCCCTCTGAACCCCTTTCTCCCGTGGATTATTCTCCTTTTCAAAGCCCAAAGCCAGCTGGGGGCGTGGGGCCTGAGCAGGGGCCCCGTGGCCTCTTAACGAGGGCGGGAGGGTCCATTTACTTTCTTTAAAATATTGATTAGAGCTTTATTGCATTAGCCAGCCGAGCGGATGAGCCGCCCCCGGGGAGGGTGAGGGGGCCCCTGTGCGGGGAGGGGGGACCCGAGTGTCATCACACGGCCGGGGGCCACTGCCCCCCACCCAGAGGCAGTTTGGCTTCCAGATAAGGGGGAGTGCCCTGGGGCCCCCGGTTGGGCGCTGCTGTGCCGGGGAGGTGATTGCGGTGCCTGGCCGGGCCAGCAGCAGATAACGCAGGCAAGAGGGGACCTGAGCAGGACAGGACTTTGGGCGCAGTGGGGGAGTCACCAGTGGACCTCTCCCAGGAAGAGCTGCGTCCTCACCCCACACAGCCATTGTCCCTCTCACCCTGCACCACTGCCCAGCCTGCCGAGGGGTGCTCCCAGCCAGGGATCCGGCACAGTAATTGGCTCATAGTGCTCAGGGAGCATTCCCGGGGCTGTAATCCCACCAGATCCCTGGCCAGAGGTCAGGGACTTCTCGGCGAGAGCGGCTTAGCCGCCGAGTGCCTCCCCCAGCCAGACGCCTGGGTGCTCACAGGTGCTGGTCCCAGCATCTGGGCACCCGTGAAACCATTTCTCCAAACAGGACCCGGGATGATTAACGAGGTTGAGGGGACACATCCATCCTGCTCCAGGTGCTCAGCCAGGACCTTCACCCAGCTGGACCGTGCCCCTGACACCCCTTGTCTTGGGAGCTGGGCTGGCTCCCCGCAGCCTGGGCATCACCTGGTGATGTCCCCCCCAAAGCCCCATTT